TCATATCCTGAAATTGTCCCCCCTTACCACCACCACCACTCTATATCCTTCCATTAGACTGTCATATCCTGAAATTTTCCCCCCTTACCACCACCACCACCACCACCCACTCTATATCCTTCCATCAGACTGTCATATCCTGAAATTGTCCCCACTTACCACCACCACCACCCACTCTATATCCTTCCATCAGACTGTCATATCCTTAAATTGTCCCCGCTTACCACCACCACCCACTCTATATCCTTCCATCAGACTGTCATATCCAGAAATTGTCCACATTTACCACCACCCACTCTATATCCTTCCATCAGACTGTCATATCCTGAAATTGTCCCCACTTACCACCACCCACTCTATATCCTTCCATCAGACTGTCATATCCTGAAATTGTCCCCACTTACCACCACCACCCACTCTATATCCTTCCATCAGACTGTCATATCCTGAAATTGTCCACATTTACCACCACCACCCACTCTATATCCTTCCATCAGACTGTCATATCCTGAAATTGTCTCCACTTACCACCACCACCCACTCTATATCCTTCCATCAGACTGTCATATCCTGAAATTGTCCACATTTACCACCACCCACTCTATATCCTTCCATCAGACTGTCATATCCTGAAATTGTCCCCACTTACCACCACCCACTCTATATCCTTCCATCAGACTGTCATATCCTGAAAATGTCCCCACTAACCACCCCCACCCACTCTATATCCTTCCATCAGACTGTCATATCCTGAAATTGTCCCCACTTACCACCACCACCCACTCTATATCCTTCCATCAGACTGTCATATCCTGGAATTGTCCTCACTTACCACCACCACCACTCTATATCCTTCCATTAGACTGTCATATCCTGAAATTGTCCTCCCTTACCACCACCACCCACTCTATATCCTTCCATCAGACTGTCATATCCTGAAATTGTCCTCACTTACCACCACCACCCACTCTATATCCTCCCATCAGACTGTCATATCCTGAAATTGTCCTCACTTACCACCACCACCCACTCTATATCCTTCCATCAGACTGTCATATCCTGAAAATGTCTCCACTTACCACCACCACCCACTCTATATCCTTCCATCAGACTGTCATATCCTGATATTGTCCACATTTACCATCACCCTCTCTATATCCTTCCATCAGACTGTCATATCCTGAAAATGTCTCCACTTACCACCACCACCCACTCTATATCCTTCCATCAGACTGTCATATCCTGAAAATGTCTCCACTTACCACCATCACCCTCTCTATATCCTTCCATCAGACTGTCATATCCTGAAAATGTCTCCACTTACCACCACCACCCACTCTATATCCTTCCATCAGACTGTCATATCCTGAAAATGTCCCCACTTACCACCACCACCCACTCTATATCCTTCCATCAGACTGTCATATCCTGAAATTGTCCTCACTTACCACCACCACCCACTCTATATCCTTCCATCAGACTGTCATATCCTGAAAATGTCCCCACTTACCACCACCACCTACTCTATATCCTTCCATCAGACTGTCATATCCTGAAAATGTCCCCACTTACCACCACCACCCACTCTATATCCTTCCATCAGACTGTCATATCCTGAAATTGTCCTCACTTACCACCACCACCCACTCTATATCCTTCCAGCAGGCTTCGTCAAATCCTGAAACAAAGCTCTTCAGTGGCCAGATGTGTTAGTAAGGAAAGTTAATATTTAACCTGGTGTTTCCCCATTTAACACAAGATAGTGACCGATGATGAAATGTCAATTCTGTTCTTTGTAAATACACCCATCAATTAGTTGGATTAGTGTGACCAATAAGTGTGACCGGTGTCTGAGATCTGTGGGGTAATTAGTATTCGTCTAGACCAGAATACCGTATTGGTGACCTCACCTCTCCACACTATAATATGTAACAATGTACAAGGATGGTGGTCCATTGGCAACATCAATACTTAACATGACAGAGGTCGTGTAAATTGTGAACTCAAGGGTCAAAGTGACAATGAGCTGTCTCTAACCTGTCTATTAATAAAACAATCAGTCCTTCGATTCTAACATCCAGGTATAATTACTGTCTCATTCAGAAACACTTCCTCTGACATACACTTGCCATTCTATAAACGGTAATCATCATTACAATACTACAATTTATTCAAACTTCTATGTGATTCCTGTTGTCAATGTACCATTCTTTATTTCATTATTATTTGCTTTGAAATGTACCTGTCTTGTCTTGAAATGAGCCTATCTTGTCTTGAAATGTACCCATCTTTCCTTGAAATGTACCTGTCTTGCCTTGAAATGTACCCATCTTTCCTTGAAATGAGCCTTTCTTGCCTTGAAATGTACCCATCTTTCCTTGAAATGAGCCTATCTTGCCTTGAAATGAGCCTTTCTTGCCTTGAAATGTACCCATCTTTCCTTGAAATGAGCCTATCTTGCCTTGAAATGAGCCTTTCTTGCCTTGAAATGTACCCATCGTTCCTTGAAATGTACCTGTCTTGCCTTGAAATGTGCCTATCTTGCCTTGAAATGAGCCTATCTTGCCTTGAAATGTACCCATCTTTCCTTGAAATGTACCTGTCTTGTCTTGATATGAGCCTATCTTGTCTTGAAATGTACCCATCTTTCCTTGAAATGTACCTGTCTTGCCTTGAAATGAGCCTATCTTGCCTTGAAATGTGCCTATCTTGCCTTGAAATGTGCCTATCTTGCCTTGAAATGTACCCATCTTTCCTTGAAATGTACCTGTCTTGCCTTGAAATGAGCCTATCTTGCCTTGAAATGAGCCTTTCTTGCCTTGAAATGTACCCATCTTTCCTTGAAATGTACCTGTCTTGTCTTGAAATGAGCCTATCTTGTCTTGAAATGTACCCATCTTTCCTTGAAATGTACCTGTCTTGCCTTGAAATGTACCCATCTTTCCTTGAAATGAGCCTATCTTGCCTTGAAATGAGCCTTTCTTGCCTTGAAATGTACCCATCTTTCCTTGAAATGAGCCTATCTTGCCTTGAAATGAGCCTTTCTTGCCTTGAAATGTACCCATCTTTCCTTGAAATGTACCTGTCTTGTCTTGAAATGAGCCTATCTTGTCTTGAAATGTACCCATCTTTCCTTGAAATGTACCTGTCTTGTCTTGAAATGAGCCTAACTTGTCTTGAAATGTACCCATCCTTCCTTGAAATGTACCTATCTTGCCTTGAAATGTACCCATCTTTCCTTGAAATGTGCCTATCTTGCCTTGAAATGAGCCTATCTTGCCTTGAAATGAGTCTTTCTTGCCTTGAAATGAGCCTATCTTGCCTTGAAATGAGCCTATCTTGTCTTGAAATGTTCCCATCTTTCCTTGAAATGTACCTGTCTTGTCTTGAAATGAGCCTATCTTGTCTTGAAATGTACCCATCTTTCCTTGAAATGTACCTGTCTTGCCTTGAAATGAGCCTATCTTGCCTTGAAATGTGCCTATCTTGCCTTGAAATGTACCCATCTTTCCTTGAAATGTACCTGTCTTGCCTTGAAATGAGCCTATCTTGCCTTGAAATGAGCCTTTCTTGTCTTGAAATGTACCCATCTTTCCTTGAAATGTACCTGTCTTGTCATGAAATGAGCCTATCTTGTCTTGAAATGTGCCTATCTTGCCTTGAAATGAGCCTATCTTGTCTTGAAATGTACCCATCTTTCCTTGAAATGTACCTGTCTTGTCATGAAATGAGCCTATCTTGTCTTGAAATGTACCCATCTCTCCTTGAAATGTACCTGTCTTGCCTTGAAATGAGCCTATCTTGCCTTGAAATGTACCCATCTTTCCTTGAAATGAGCCTATCTTGCCTTGAAATGTACCCATCTTTCCTTGAAATGTACCCATCTTTCCTAGAAATGTGCCTATCTTGCCTTGAAATGAGCCTATCTTGTCTTGAAATGTACCCATCTTTCCTTGAAATGTACCTGTCTTGTCATGAAATGAGCCTATCTTGTCTTGAAATGTACCCATCTCTCCTTGAAATGTACCTGTCTTGCCTTGAAATGAGCCTATCTTGCCTTGAAATGTACCCATCTTTCCTTGAAATGAGCCTATCTTGCCTTGAAATGTACCCGTCTTTCCTTGAAATGTACCTGTCTTGCCTTGAAATGTGCCTATCTTGTCTTGAAATGAGCCTATCTTGCCTTGAAATGAGCCTTTCTTGCCTTGAAATGAGCCTATCTTGTCTTGAAATGTACCCATCTTTCCTTGAAATGTACCTGTCTTGCCTTGAAATGTACCTGTTTTGCCTTGAAATGTACCAGTCTTGCCTTGAAATGTCCCTGTCTTGCTTTAAAATGTACCTATCTTGCCTTGAGAGTACCAGGAGACTAAGACCAGTTGTTCTCAAAGTGTAAGTGTCTTTTGCTTCATTGACAACCGCAATGTAAATCTTGGTCCATTCAAGTAAGTAATTTCACATTCTTCAATGGGTATCAGGTAAACAACAACCAAACCACAGGGTGAACTAAAAAGCATCAAACACCTCCAGCTTCAAACTCACACAAAGAAACTGAGTATTTCTCAGTGAGATTATGATAACTGTACAACTATATACCTTGAAATGACTTCCAAGCAACCAAGGTGGAGATCTTTGCAGAACACATCTATGCCTCTCTATCCTTGGGCAACCAAATGACTTGCTTGGCAAATCTTGTTTCATGCATTCACCTAGGTCTCTCTAACCTTGAAGTAACCTTCAAACAACCAGTCTGGCAAACCTTTTAGGGGGTGATCTGTATTGTTCTAACCTCAAAGTGACCTTAATAACAATCTACCTGGTGAACCTTGTAGGTTGTGATCTGTGATTGTCTAACCTTGGACTGAAACACCAGGCCTGGCGAAACTTGGATGTGGTGACCTCTATTTCTCAAACCTTGAGCTGACCTTCAAACAACCTTACCTGTTGATCCTTATCAGTGTCCTGTGCTGCTCTAACTGTCAGCTGTCCTAAAGACTTACCTGGTGTTCCTTGTAGGTGGCGATCTGTGCTTCACGAGGTATATCCCAAACTGCAACACTGTTGTCATCAGCTCCTGAAAACAGCCGCACGCGGTCACGCAAGAACTTTGTCACGTGCACAGCTCTGAAAATAAATTAATAAAAGATAAATGTCGTTATTTTCCTAAAGTCGATCAGATACAAATAAAGCTTCCTTTGTGATTATTTTGTTGTCTTTAAGATACATACTAAATACATTTGAATTTGCTGATACTTTTAACACATAAAACAGCATGTCATTAAAAGGGAACTGTTGTTGCTGCCTTGGTGTAGCTGTCTAAACACTGACAGATCTTCAATACATATTCTCATTATGTTTCTCAGTCAGGTCTAGTCTTGTCATTAAAAGGGAACTGTTGTTGCTGCCTTGGTGTACCTGTCTAAATCTTTACAGATCTTAGATACACATTCTCATTATGTTTCTCAGTCAGGTCTAGTCTTGTCATTAAAAGGGAACTGTTGTTGCTGCCTTGGTGTAGCTGTCTAAACACTGACAGATCTTCAATACATATTCTCATTATGTTTCTCAGTCAGGTCTAGTCTTGTCATTAAAAGGGAACTGTTGTTGCTGCCTTGGTGTAGCTGTCTAAACACTGACAGATCTTAAATACATATTCTCATTATGTTTCTCAGTCAGGTCTAGTCTTGTCATTAAAAGGGAACTGTTGTTGCTGCCTTGGTGTACCTGTCTAAACACTGACAGATCTTAAATACATATTCTCATTATGTTTCTCAATCAGGTCTAGTCTTGTCATTAAAAGGGAACTGTTGTTGCTGCCTTGGTGTAGCTGTCTAAACACTGACAGATCTTAAATACACATTCTCATTATGTTTCTCAGTCAGGTCTAGTCTTGTCATTAAAAGGGAACTGTTGTTGCTGCCTTGGTGTAGCTGTCTAAACACTGACAGATCTTCAATACATATTCTCATTATGTTTCTCAGTCAGGTCTAGTCTTGTCATTAAAAGGGAACTGTTGTTGCTGCCTTGGTGTAGCTGTCTAAACACTGACAGATCTTACATACACATTCTCATTATGTTTCTCAGTCAGGTCTAGTCTTGTCATTAAAAGGGAACTGTTGTTGCTGCCTTGGTGTAGCTGTCTAAACACTGACAGATCTTAAATACACATTCTCATTATGTTTCTCAGTCAGGTCTAGTCTTGTCATTAAAAGGGAACTGTTGTTGCTGCCTTGGTGTAGCTGTCTAAACACTGACAGATCTTAAATACACATTCTCATTATGTTTCTCAGTCAGGTCTAGTCTTGTCATTAAAAGGGAACTGTTGTTGCTGCCTTGGTGTAGCTGTCTAAACACTGACAGATCTTAAATACACATTCTCATTATGTTTCTCAGTCAGGTCTAGTCTTGTCATTAAAAGGGAACTGTTGTTGCTGCCTTGGTGTAGCTGTCTAAACACTGACAGATCTTAAATACACATTCTCATTATGTTTCTCAGTCAGGTCTAGTCTTGTCATTAAAAGGGAACTGTTGTTGCTGCCTTGGTGTAGCTGTCTAAACACTGACAGATCTTAAATACACATTCTCATTATGTTTCTCAGTCAGGTCTAGTCTTGTCATTAAAAGGGAACTGTTGTTGCTGCCTTGGTGTAGCTGTCTAAACACTGACAGATCTTAAATACACATTCTCATTATGTTTCTCAGTCAGGTCTAGTCTTGTCATTAAAAGGGAACTGTTGTTGCTGCCTTGGTGTAGCTGTCTAAACACTGACAGATCTTAAATACACATTCTCATTATGTTTCTCAGTCAGGTCTAGTCTTGTCATTAAAAGGGAACTGTTGTTGCTGCCTTGGTGTAGCTGTCTAAACACTGACAGATCTTAAATACACATTCTCATTATGTTTCTCAGTCAGGTCTAGTCTTGTCATTAAAAGGGAACTGTTGTTGCTGCCTTGGTGTAGCTGTCTAAACACTGACAGATCTTAAATACACATTCTCATTATGTTTCTCAGTCAGGTCTAGTCTTGTCATTAAAAGGGAACTGTTGTTGCTGCCTTGGTGTAGCTGTCTAAACACTGACAGATCTTAAATACACATTCTCATTATGTTTCTCAGTCAGGTCTAGTCTTGTCATTAAAAGGGAACTGTTGTTGCTGCCTTGGTGTAGCTGTCTAAACACTGACAGATCTTAAATACACATTCTCATTATGTTTCTCAGTCAGGTCTAGTCTTGTCATTAAAAGGGAACTGTTGTTGCTGCCTTGGTGTAGCTGTCTAAACACTGACAGATCTTAAATACACATTCTCATTATGTTTCTCAGTCAGGTCTAGTCTTGTCATTAAAAGGGAACTGTTGTTGCTGCCTTGGTGTAGCTGTCTAAACACTGACAGATCTTAAATACACATTCTCATTATGTTTCTCAGTCAGGTCTAGTCTTGTCATTAAAAGGGAACTGTTGTTGCTGCCTTGGTGTAGCTGTCTAAACACTGACAGATCTTAAATACACATTCTCATTATGTTTCTCAGTCTGGTCTAGTCTTGTCATTAAAAGGGAACTGTTGTTGCTGCCTTGGTGTAGCTGTCTAAACACTGACAGATCTTTAATACACATTCTCATTATGTTTCTCAGTCAGGTCTAGTCTTGTCATTAAAAGGGAACTGTTGTTGCTGCCTTGGTGTAGCTGTCTAAACACTGACAGATCTTAAATACACATTCTCATTATGTTTCTCAGTCAGGTTTACTCTTGAAATATTAACAAATGGGCATAATATAACAACTGTTGGATTTCATTTTTATTTCAGGAGTTTTTAAAAACATGCCTTAAGTTGCTACTTAAGGGAGATGATCACTGTGGCATATCGTGTTGAGGCTTTCCCTTGTGTTTATATATCACTTACTAAAGTGCATCAACTGTTCGGAAAAAAAGACACAATTTAAACCACTCTCACCATATTGTTTTTATAATACTGATTGTTTATTACCCATCAAATGCCTTTAATTCTTATTTAAGCACTTAGATAATTGCATAATATTTCTGTGACTTGTAAGGTCTCCGGAGTAAAATACAAATTTGCTAGCAAGTGAAATATAGCACTAGAGACTGAGTGTGCAGGCAAAACCATCCATTTCATAAGGATTGGTGATATTCTGTATTATAAATAGTCTTCTTATGTATAACAATGTACTATTCAATAAAAAAAAATTTAAAAGATTAACATAGATTCCAATATATTCAAATTGAATTGACCTCAAGCCATTAAATTTTTTTTCAACTTTTCTTTCTTTTGTCTCCCGATTTTCTAATGAATCTGATTTTATTCAGGAAGTTGAATTGATGAATTTTAAAAGTCAACAGACTAGGTCCTTACAGAGGTTGAAGCTTTGACTATTAAAACAATGTACAAAATTATTAATGGACAAATTGATGCAATATGAAGGTAAATGACATGAACTAAAAAACCAAACCTGAAATTATCACTTAGTTTACAATATTTACAAGGGTTTCATTTTTGCTATATTTGCAATCATTAAGAATTGTGCTAAATTCAGCACACAGCAAATATGTTATAATAGATAGAATATCAGTATACGTTTTCTTGTTTGCTTCTAAACTAAATTCCCATGGATTAGCCCCTCAAGGCTTCGCAAAAGTATTAGACCTGTGAAGTTAAACAAGTTAGTATGAAATATTCTTCTATCTAACAAAAGAACCAAAGAAGTAGATGAGACAAAGTTCATTTTCCTAGCATTCTAAAGGGGCGTGGTACAGGGCTAAATGTAATTTTCTGACATATAAACTCTCAATGAGTCAGGATATTAATCTACATAATATCAAAATACCACCTTATCATAAATATAAGACCATATTGGGAAACTGCTGCTTAAATAAACAAAATATGCCCAAAACAGTTACTACTGTCTGTTAGCATAGTAAACTTTATTATTTCCGCAGGAGGTTCCTGCGATAATGAAATTTGTTAAAAAGGTAAAGCATCACAGAACCTTTCCATCAGAATGATGTGAAGAAACATAAGTCGATCAATATTCTCATATTATTTTAAGAACAGGTGTCCATGTAAGAGAATATGACAATTGCAATAGGTCAAAAGAACTTCTCTTTCAGGTGACTTATGAATGACAATGCTCTTCACGAATCCAAATAAGGTTATGCTTGCTAATATTTACTTACCCTGTATGTCCTTTGAAAACCCTAAGCAGTGCGCGGCCTTCCACATCAAACAGACGGATAAGACCCTCATCACCACCCGCAACCAACAACTTGCCATCATCACGGAAACTTCCACTATATGCCACATCCTTAAATCGACTGATGGTTTTAAGAATCTGCAGTGACTTTGAACTGTAGATTTGTACCTAAAAGAAACCAAAATTCACTGATCATTAACGCATGACTTTGATCCGCATCCATGGGTACTTAATAAGGTTAAAGGTCACTTACTAAATACAGAAATATTAAAGATGATCTCAAAAGATTCTATCAAATTTTCAATACAATTCAAATGTAAAGCTTGAATCTGAAAGCGCATTGTTTAATGGTTTCATTCAGGTCATGTCAAGGTCAAACTGGAAAGTCTCATGAACTCTACTCCTCCCATGAATGCAAGTATCATAGCTTGATGAGTTTTAACAAGTAATCAAATGTGACCTTTGACCATTTAACCTTTCCCTATGACTACCTTAATTAATATGATTGGGTGTAGAACTTGACAAGTGTGAAGTGAACCTTATGAGAAGTTCTCAAGATATGTCATTGACTAGAAATTGGACACAACATGACAATAACATGATAGGACATGACGTGATGCTTTGGTTCGGTTTCATACTGTTTAATATCATATCAATAACTTAAGTCATTTAAGGACATCCTCTGTGTGTACACATGCATTCAGTGCTTGCAGTTTTTCGGGGGCTACGATATGTTCATAAGCCTCCTTCTGTAAGTTTGTGAGTGTGAAACTAAAATCCACTTTAAGGCAGTACCACATTGAAGTGTACTGATGAAGGTGACCAGCAGAGGTGAAACAGAAAGTTTGGGTGTAGTTGATTTATGATATTTTTCTTCCAGTGCACTTCATTTTATAGTTACTCCAACTACAGAACTTGAACTGTGGTGGTAAATTTTATGCAGGGTGGCTATTTCACTATGTGCCAATGATCCCAAATGTATGTTTCTGATTGATCAAGTGGTTTTAACAAGACCCAATTGCAAATGACCTTGCATTTCACCTGTGTTGTGATGGGGAAAATGGTATCGGATGAAACAATTTTGAAGGATGTTCTGGCTTCCTATTGTTCTGCTGTGTGGAAACACTCTAGTTTCTGTGCAAAGAATGCAAAAAACTTACTCAACTCGTGATACAACAACATTATCACATTTTGTTACATGCTGCTACAATGTGTTATTCAATACATGAAGCCTGAAATAAAAAGTCTGCATTCTTTTCATAGTAGCACTAGTCATTTCTAAATATTTTGCTGCATACTAAAATACCGAACTTTTTGAAAGTGAACTGTTGACACAGCACCACAACATGTACTGAACCGCACTGAAGGTGTACTTGTTTCACCCATACCAGCAGAACACCGCGGTCAGTCACACTAATGACAGTCCAGTATTACACCACCACAATACTTAACGTTACAGGAGAGCAACACTATAATGTTCCTTTACAAATACCATAACTGGACATCTCTAACATTATAAAGATTTATTCTAGAATACAAAAGTTTTCAGTCAGTAGTAGTAACCACGATAATGAACTTTTTTGAAATAAGGCAATAAAAAGGCAAAATATCAAAAGACTGGTTCTTCAATGATATCAGTATTATCATATCTTCCTTGAATGTATCTGATTTTAGTTTCCATAAAATCAGGGTTTTAAACTAAAGATTCCGAAAGTATGAACCAAAACAATCAGGTGATGAATCATTTTATCACATTTCCTTTTTTGTCTATATCTTTTTCCTTCTTTTCTCTTTTGCTGCTTTTTCTTATATGAAATTTGAAAATTCCTTTAGGAAATTGCAATAAAAGTCTTTAAACGCCAAATCGAAGACAGTCATTTTATTGGCCATTTTGTTTTTTTGATCAGTCCCAAATGTGCACAACATTGGACCAAGAGGTACCTAAACATGAGATGAAATTGGATAGAAACCAATCCAGTATAATCAAAGAAATAGCGATAGCAAACTTTCACTCTCAAAATCTCAGACGATTGTCAGCCATTTTGTTCAGTCCATAAATCCAATGGGCACTAATAGAAACCCTAAAGAGAACCCACATATAAGATTTAAGGATTGCAGTACTCTTCAAAAAATAGCAACAAAAACTGTTAATGACAGACTTTCCACATGGATGCATTTAAATCACGTAGTGGACGAAAAATATGATGTTTAGAGATTTTATTTTTCTTCTTTCATATATTCAACTGATAAATATGTCATTAGATCCTAAATTCTCTTATTAACCACTGTGTAGAAGATTTCAAGGGAAGTAACTCCTCAGTAATCATGATGAACAAACATATCACTGTAAACTTTGTATATATATATTGTTGTTCATTGTTAATTTGATATGAGTATAAAAGTAAATTATATCTAAATGGTCTCATAAACACATCAAGCAGATTTTACTTTAGAATATACAACTCATTTATTTTTGGAAACTGAAAAAAATAAATATGAATTGTATCGATTTCCCAGATGTGATCAAAATTATATTTTTCATGACGATGACAACAAAATCTATGGAGACATGTATTCCATTGATTAAAAAAAACATTATCATCAAATACAAAATACTACAACACACTGGAGAACGAGACGTGACAAATTACAATATCATCCACAACTATTGTTCACAGAGTATCGGGAAACAATGACGCCCTACTTCTACAATAGGGACAAAAGATATCGTAAAGGTACACAATCAATATATCAGTATACTTAGATACACATAGTCTGGTTCATAAGCTTGCTTGTTCAACATTCTCCTCAGCTTTGTTTCTAAATATTTCTAAAAATAAATACATCAGTATACTTAAAATACACAGTCTGGTTGATAAACTTGCTTATGCAACATTCTCCTCATCTTTCTTTCTAAAAAATCATCCAAATTTATTCTTAAAACACTTGTTTCAATAACATTGTGTGGTGTTAATGAGTCTGAACAGTGTTTTACATATCAATGTTCGTAGAATATGAAACAAAGAGCTTCCTCAGTTTAACAGATCTGGATGCCAGCCACACAGGCAGGAGAGGTCTTGTGATACGAATCATATCCCAGCATCCATTGCTCCTGGTCTTTATATGTCAGGTAGCCCAATACCTTGTCAGGGATACAACAATATCTCACAGAGGCCCTGATTCCATCTTTCTTCTGATGTATCTTTACCTCAGCCAAACACATAATAGAATATCTATACCACCCAGTCAGTGGTTGTTTATAATGTGGCAAATGAGTTGTACTCACCTCACAGTTGTCTCCCTTCTTCACAATTTTTTTTATAAAAAGATTTTAATACAATAGGCTTTGAATTGCCATTACTGTTTCAATTAACAATTACAATTTTTTATCTGTACAAATTCCATTCTTTATATCTAATGGTCACAGGGATCCAAATTCATTAAAAAAAATTGGATAAAAGGGAATGCAACACTCCCTAAAGGGCTACCTCAAAAGGAAGTATACATATAAATGTATGGTTGTAAATAGTGCTGAAAACCAGTTGTAATTTAATGATCGACCATCAGATCATCTGAACCAATCAATGACTGACTAATAATCAATTCTGGGAAGGACATCTCCATTTTTATAATGATAAATTGATAACATCATACATAAATAAAGACAAAGTTATGTTTGTACTTTACGCTTTCTTGCCCGAAAAGTCACGACAGCCATTTTTATTAGATGTCCCATATGCATTGGAAAATAATATTTATCAAGGGCTTAAGCAGCGATGTTGACTTGTCATGCTCAACCAGAGGCTTAAATACTTTGTGACGTTCATTGACAAGAAGACTGCTTAAGACAGGGTAAAGTGAATGCCACTTTTTGTTTTACTGACATCAATCGTGAAAGATTGTAGTCGATTAATTAGTTTATTGACGTACCATTCATTACTCGACAAAGAAAATTAATTGGAACATCACTCGTTGTAAAAAATTCAATTAATGTCTATCTAACTGTCATTCACTTCTATAAAATTTTACATTTATAAACACAACATACTGTCAAGGATAAGTGTGATGATACTGTCATATTTACCTGCTAAACATTGTAGAATACTGACAAGGATAAGTGTGATGATACTGTCATATTTACCTGCTAAACATTGTAGAATACTGACAAGGATAAGAATGATGTACCTCACCTCCCATACATTCATTGTATGGGGATAATAATATCAAAACCAAAATGTGTTAGCACCAGTCAGTAGACTTGATTGATATTAAGTTAAATAATGGTAAAAAACTGCCTTTATATCCATCTATATATTAAATTATCCATTAAATACCTCTATCAAACTTTTACCGACAAAATAACAGAAATTATGGATGAAGTTATCTCATATACCAGGTAGATATATACCGACCAATAAAAAAGGTGATTTTTAATTGATATCTGAAAACAATATGTGTTTCTATACAGAGCAAATGAAATGAAGATAATCTTAGTATTAATTTCATTAGTACTGAATAGAAATTTTTCACTCCAGCTTTAATTTCCACTCATGGTTAATTTTTGATATTCTATTACTCTTGAAATAGATATATGAACTAAATTAACCTTTTTCTGAAAACTATAAAAACATGTGTTACTACATTGTTTTCATGAAAAACTTGACTTTTTCACTTTAAGACGAGAAAAATAATACTGGCTATATCAGAAAAACTGACATTTAGAAACTATTTCATATAATGTATATTTTCAAAAAGATTTTTTTTCCAACATCAAGTGTGAATTTATTATCACAAAACCATGATACAGAAGAAAAGAACATCCATTTTATCTAGCTTGACTCCTGTAGATTCATCACTGAGATTTTCCACAGCTGATAATTGATTTGTCTGTAAGTATCAGCTACGGATGGGATCCCCAGCATTTATAAGCTTGATATGGGCTGGTATATATGGTACTACCAGCCGGACAAACTATTCACACATTCAAATATCCAAGTAGAACAAACATACAATCCGATGTTTTTTCTGATCCTAGCTTTTATATTTCCAGATATCAATCTGGTATTTCAATCAACTTAAATTCAGAACCGTTATTTTCATTAAATCAGCCTGTTTATAAATCTAAACTCAACTCATGTGAACTACTACTCATTTTTTTCTCACATATGCTGGCACAAATATAAAATCTTTCAGGAATACATTCTTTGATAAGGAATTCTATTTTACTTTGGAGGTTTATTATGTGATAAATGTGTTTTTTTGTTTCCTTTACTTCCAGGACATAATCATGCTGTTCATTTTTCCAAAGTTCAGTTCTATTTTAAGTATCAGTCTGTAAATGAACTAATTAGAATGAACTTTGACCTCATTCATGCAATTAAATCTTAACAGCGTTTTTCCCTGAATACAATTATGAGATTGTTCTTTACTTTAGAAAAGTACCAAGTATCTGAGCCTATTCGTGGACATGCAAACATGTTCATCTAGATCTTATCATAACATTGATTTCCCCTGGACTTGAAGAAGATGAAACAGGCACTGAAAGACATTAACATGGCCTGTCAAAATATGAACTTTAATTCATACAACAAACAACTTTGATTGTCACACCTGACAGATATACCATCTCCTGTCCAATGAGATTCTGGCAATACAGGACAGAAAAAACGTCTATTTCCTGTGAAATTTCATGGGATCAGTGTTTGTTTATCACACAGAGTAGCTTACCTGTGGAAATACCAACAACTAAATACATGACGAGCCTCTTTTATTGAACACATTTACTAGGTATTTCTAAACTGATATAACAAACTCCTGTAGATTACATTCTTATTCTTAAATTTATGCCTCCTCCTAAAAAACGTGTGAATTTTACCGCTTGCTGAGTGACACTAATAATGCCACTTGCCTATCCTACAAATGGAAACTCTCAATTCAATAACAATTGCTGAGAAATTATTTGTCAACACACTTCTGCCACCACAATTCTGACTTTCATTCTATCTGGGAATTTCTCATTTAATAGGCATCACAACACGCAGCGTGAAGTCAGAAATCATCATACAACAAGTAACAAAATCTTCAAACAAAAAAGGCATCGATAAATGTAGTGTTAAAAACAAAATCAAGACACTGAGGCAAGTGATAGTATGCAAGAAAGGCATAACATTTGATGTATTTACGAAAGTGTAAGGAAATCTGTTCTGAGAAAGCTGATGATGGCAATTGAGTTTTGCGATACAGTTAGTATCAGCACCTATCCAATATTGCCTGTATATATGTAACAGCAAAAATTACCACACTTTTTGCACATTTCTAAAAAGTTATGATGAAAAAGAACAACAGTATGTGAGGAACAATAACTTGGTAGCTGTGTTAAGCAAAAGTTGTATTATTTTTCAACATGACAAAATAAGCAACAAAACTTTCTTAAATCAAATTCTGATAATTCAAAGATCCTATACTACCTCTTTACATAAGTATAAACGTTTCAATTTTCGCTCTTTTATGAGACCTCATAATGTTTACTTTATTTCAGCTCTTATTGACAAAGCACACAACAAGAGACAGAAAGAAAACAACAACAAAGCCTTGGACAAGAAGGAAACCCTTAGAATCAAAAAGAGTTGGACGAAAAAAAACACTCCTATCCGGTGACCAATCCCTTAAAATCAGTGCAGAATGGGAAACTGAAGAACATGTAACATTTTTTTTCCTCTCCTGCAATAGATAGAGCAGAAGGCATAATTGTACCGTCTGAGAGGATGATGTTTCCCTTAGAAGCAGTTTTGGGAGGAAGCAATATGAAATGATGTGGACAGTTCTCTGCTTAACCTGTCTTCATTAACATCAGTCAAATGTATAAGTTGAGATTCATCATTAAAAGACATAATGTCTAAAGCTTCTTCCAAATGAAGGCTGTTAACCTAGCAACACTAAGGATATACACATAGCATGTGATATTCTGGCATAACACAACCTCCTCAATCCAAAAGCAGTACATTTCAGAATGATTAAACTACAAGTGGAGGTTACAATACACAGGGGTGAACTGATGCTCAACAACTCCAATTAGAACAATTGTAAATGATAAAGGTTTAGGTACCCGTCCCAGAATTCAAAACTTTGGTGTAACTAGCCTTTTGGACCAGGAGGTATCTGAACTAGAGGCAGCACAACTCCTGCTAAACTACAAAAGAGGGGAACCAAAACTTGCCTGAGGGCTGCAACAAGGCAAACACTAAGCATGCCATATTCAAATGAAGCAGTATATTTGAACCAAACTCAAGTCTTGAAGGACAAAAATGAAGTTCCAAGTGTTAGATGGACTAAACATAATTTACATGGCCAACACTAGCTAGAGAAAAGGACACTGTAGCCACCAATTCTCTCAGATGATGATGCCAGAAAGTGAATCTTTAAACAGTCATTGAAGCGTTTGAATTGTACACTATCCCTGTGAGTTTGAATAAGAATAAAACTGATATTGACATATTTCCTATCTTGTTTCTCATATCTTTTATTGGTGTAGAAACAGAAAAGGCAAACTTTTCACTAATTATTGGGGCATCGTTACTAGTTAGTAAATCTTCAACAAAATGTTGAAAAGGTGAGCTGAACCAATATGAACCATTTCTATTTTTATTTATCACTTAACCTCCATCTTTAAATGGATTTCAACAATAATTGACAAAATTGGCCCCTGCAAGTATAATATGAAGGGGTCAATGTCCTTACTTGTTTCATCCCTTCATTAAATGGAGATAAAATCAGTGACTTTACATGCTACTTACTCTAGTTGAATTAGTTACAGCAAAGCTGTTTGGTTCAGTAGGGCTGAACTCTATGTGGGTTATAGCGCCATACTCCTTTTTGGTCACTGGTACCTGGAAAACACAAACATACCTAATTAATGTATGGTCAAAACACTTGATTGGCTGTCTAAACCATTTACACATTTGAATTATCTCCCCTGACGCTATATTAGGTCTCAAGAAGAATAGAGGTAAATGGACATGATAAATATTAAACACTGGATGTCTCTTATGTAATCCTAAAAAAACACTTTTAGTCTTTTATATACTATAGCAATAAAGATTGTTTTAGTAGGAATGTATATACAATGCATAACATAAAAACAATGACAATTCTTTTTTTTTAAATATGTTGAATGATGAAATATATATCCTGATAATGATATCAAAGGAAAATCAATATAGTAATCAATTTAAACCAGAAAACTACACTCTGATAACATGGATTCTTTTGCTATATGTAAATGAACAACAGAAAATATGTCAAAAATGAATACACAGACTGGATTGAAGACCAGCTGACTTACGATCGATCTACCAATCAGAAGTCCGACATATGAAGTTGTGAATGAAATGCATAGTTTCGTGGTAGCTATACATTTATTACTTTGAGACAGTCTTTGCTAGAAGCATTTATAAAATAACTCAACAACTGTCAGTAAAGTTTTCATGTTAACCATCGGGAGATATAAACCTGTGTGTGCAGGTTAGGTATTTTTAGGAATGCTAGTTGACCAGTTCTACTTTGAAGTATTTCTTGCATTCTTTACATATAGGGGATAATTATGTTTAATCGTATGGAACTTTATTGTGTAATAGGAAGGAGTAATGAAAAACAACCTGCCATCACTTGGCTTCGAACAAGCGACCTTTCATTCTCTAGACTGACTCTCTACCACTAAACAAAAGGCAAATTCCCAACAGCCAAGGCTCATAAGGCTACCTGTACTTTCAACTTCTACAGTACTCCCTCCTTCACAAAGTCTTCCACCCCAAAGACAACAATAACCCAGGTTCATTATATCTCCAAGAAAACATCTCAATCTCCTTTAGCTTCTGTCCTTGGAGTAGTCAACTGCATCGAATCTGTCATAGGAAGGAATAGTGAAAAACACCCTGCCTTTGCTGGGGTTCAAACTGATAACCATTCTGTCTCTTGGCAAACACTCTATTCCTCAACTAAAGGGAAATTCACACTAGCCAAGGCTAGTAAGTCAACCGGTACTCTCAACTACAAACAAGAATCATAGAGAAGTTTTCACAAACTCTGGAAACAAACTTAATAACACCTTAATCCACTAAATTTTAAAATTAAATGTTTTATCAATGATTGTTCAACAGGAGATTTCACTACAAACACAAATACCTGTTGAGTGTTTGCTAATGAGAAATCTAACATCCAAAAACGAAACCTAATTTAATGATGTCAATGTCATCTTCAACACAGTTTCCAATCTAATGGGCATACAGAATTAAGATGCAAGTCATTTCAGTGTAGGTGTTACTGAAAGTGTTGGATGAAACTTGTTTCATTAATTCAATAATAGGATGTAATCACTTGGGCTCATACAGGCTTTTTAATTATTCTCTATTGAATTAGTGAAAATCGGTTAAAACTGAAGACCAGTCGTACATAGTCCGTGGAGTTGACAACATCATCCAGACAGTAGTTACAAACACTTGCCGATATCTAACGTTGTAAACAATCCTGGACAATAACAACAGTGCTTAAGACCAATAGCTGCCTTAGCATTCGCATGAATTGTGTCGACATTTGCACAGGTGGCAGTCAAAATGGTTGACGAGTAAATGGCAATAAGATTGAAAAAATACCATAAGTATGTACTCATCAAGTGAATTCAAAATACTAAATCTGGCTGCAACATATTTCACTACTACAACTATCAAACGATCCGTTTGTTTACATGTGTACAACGACTGTGTTCAAATGACCACGTGTTTTCGTCTACATAAACAAACCGGTTTATAGAAGTCGGAAGTGATAATTTGATGAAGAGAGGTGCAATTACAAATGCCTATTCAACACACCTCTAAATTTTTCCAGTAATTCGTGTCTGAGGTGACATTTTCGCCAACACGTGGAGTAGATTTTATCACGGTCTTCTTGAAGGAAGCCGCCATATTGTGAATAATCTCGAAACTTCAACACATGATGATCAGTGGTTCATCGATTTGTTGTTCTTGTTATTCTTCAAGGTTACACTTTATTCAAATTGATTTGCTATTTAAACAGCATGTTTAAGTTAAATATTGCGGTTGTTGATTTTTGTGAAAAAGGTGAATATTCATGAGGCTGGAGAGTATGTTTATTCATCTGTAACTAAAAGTTGAAAGGTCATAGGTCAAAAGGTTCTGTGTTTCTTTTTCCCCAATCACGTGCTACCGGCGCATAAATTAATTTGTTCGGATGACGGGGATAGGATTATATTCATTGATAAAGTGTACGAATCTTAAGTTGGTTAGATCAATTTTGGCGAATAAAGACTTGCCTACTCTCCGGTAATTTTGCACGGCTAAGAAATGTCGAACGGAGAAAACAGTGTGGATGGCAGTGTGGTGAGTACAGTATATTATTACTCTCTCTTATATACACACTACACAGTTACTTTAATACAACTTTAGGGTACGTGCATGTTGATCTATGTATACAGTATTAACACAAATGATATGCGTTTAATTTAGAAAGTTTGCGATCCAAAAGAATTCATTCGATTGCTCTGATTTTTTAATCATATATATTTTTCATTTTGATTTAATATTTTTATATACTGCGCTTTTATCTTTATTTTTTCATAACATTTTTTTTCTATAAAAAAATCTTCTCCAAGAAAAGTTAGTTTATGTATTTTAGTGTAACAGCAATAAACAACACAAAAATATCTAATTAATTTTCCCACTTTAGGGATTTACTTTGTTTATCTAGTGATCTATTTCTCACCTTCAGTTTATCTCTTACCTTATTTCATCTTTTACTTTTTATGTAAAAATTGGACAATGTTAGCTGTTTCCGTAAGCCAGCTTAATGTCCTATTATCTATTTCTGTAATTACCAACACATATCAGTTAGCTCTGTCTTTACTCTATTGTGAAAATCAAAAAATTGCTGTCAAAATAATCCGAAAATGTTCTTTCATGTACCAACATTAGTGGACTTTGTTTACGTACCGACAAATAGGGGCAGCGTGTTAGCATTAATTAACTACGTGTGTCTTTACTCAGCATACTTTATTACTTACGAAATACATGAAACCCGAGCTAAGAGGTGCACGGCTAACAATCCGATAATTATCATGTTGTTTCAGTCATCACCCAACGAGGAATTAAACATTTCCGAGATGGAATCGGACAACGTCAGTGAAAACGGGGAGGGAGGAGGTCATTCCGAAAAAATGGACGCCGCCGACAGAGAACTTTACGAGAAGTTAAAAAGACAAGAAAGGGAGGAAAGAGAGGAGATAGAAAGAGAATTAAAAAGAGCCCATGAGGAGGCTATTGTGAGGAGACACGAGGAATTAAGGGCCAAGGAACTTAGGATGCACGCAGAAAGGATTCAACAGTTGGAACAGGAAAGGGGTCAGGACCTGAGAATGAACAAACATCTCCCCCACTCTGAGGAGTTCCGTGGCCACAGGGAGGGACTCGCTCTGTCCGAGTCCCCACGTTTGGACATTTTATCTCACAGTGCTTTCCTGGCGGAACGTTACCACAGAAATTCCCACTCCCCTCAAAGTCCGACCTCAATCAGCCCCACGGGGGACGGACCCACTCATCACTGGACATTCGAGGAGCAATTTAAACAGGTAATTAATTCACTGATAAAAACGGTTATGGTTTTAGAATTGGTATTTAATATTTTAATAATTTTACAGAAAATGTCTTGTGAAAGTAAACACACCACTTTAAAGGTTGGAATATAAACACAACTGCATATCTAGTGATTTGTATTCAAATATTATATATCAAATATTTCTTAGTTGTAAAATAATTCAAATATTTACATTTTTTAATTTTCAAATAAAATACAAATATTTGTATTAAAAATATAATTGGATAATTAGCAATTAAAAAAAGTTAAAATTCCATATCTTTAACAATTAAATGAATCAATCGAGTGTACTTCACATCAACAGATTAAAAAACCGCCTTACAAATATCTGATTCACTCAGAGGGGCAAAGTAAAACATGTTTTAGTTGAAATACGTAAATATAAATCAATCACTCCCTCATTTTTGCAAACCTATTAAACATCTAGATAAAATAATTCACTGGTGATCTTCTAAATTAATTATAAGTATAAAGCGTGTTACCTATGAATTATATTTCAAACATTAATAGAAAATTAATCATAATTGTTTCTGATAGATATGTCTCAAATTGAAAAGAAATGTTTATCAAGTTAATTATATATATGCATTGTTTATGGGGGTGAAACCCCATCTTAATGTTTATCAATCTAAACTATTTCTTTGATTGATTCTATCGACTGTTTCTTTGCGTAATTACAAAAGCTAAAACTGTCTTTTATTTTTTATTTTTGACGGTTCAGAAACAATGCTCTCACATAAGTTTTATTTAATTAAAATTTAATGATTTAAAAATAAAGTTCTGTTTCAATCGTATGTATTTGCAGTGTTTTCATTTTTTATATTTTTTTAAAATTTTTTAAATAAAAACCTAATCGTTATGTAACGTGCTATTAATTGCACATGATGACAGTATTGACAACACATTAAAAAGACTAGTCTAAATCCTTCTACATAGATACAAACTGTTTACACTCCAGCTTGTATTTTACTTTTTTCCACTGACACGTATATCACGGAATACGTGGTATTGGAAATTGAGTTTTTCCTTGGGGAATTCAGACATGTTTTTTGTTAATACTTTTTCTCGAAGAAGACAATTCAACATGTAACATACATACAGCTACCGGTATGTCATTCTGACATCAGATAATTTTATATTCGATACAGGATAAATCGGTTTGTCTGTAGAACCCAGAAATAGAGATACTTGTATTATAAACCGACGGTTATAAGGGCTGAAACCATGATGCATTTAATTGTTTTGGGTTTTACCCGGCCCGTGGCCGGCCATGTTAACATGCAATCCGCTCTGTTTATTTGCCCATATTAATTAATATTTCACGATATAAAGAGGATTGCTTTGCCTGTATTAACCTTGCTCAATTGGATTCCGTGATAACTAATTGTAAACAAAATCGCAGAACCATATAAATGATTAAAAGCTATAACATAGTATTATATTGGCCACTGCGGAATAATACATTTTATGGTATTTTTGTAATAGAAATATATATACATATATATAATACAATTTTCATGAGATTCAGTGAACTCTTCTTTTATAGCGCTGGTCCTGTTTGTATAGAGCTATGTACTATACCACGCTACTTTACAATCCATTATCAAAATATCGAAATAACAGATCGATAGCCCTGACCTCATCTATACAGTCTAATTCGATCTATTAATTATGCATTAAATAATATTTTGTTCCGTGTAATAGTTATAAATGAAAGGACAATAGTAATTTGCCTGTGGGACCGAGGATCTTAACATATGGCCCGATTCCCACTTTAACGGGAAGGTGGCCAAATTAAAGTCCTATAGTGCCGTGCGGGACTTGTCGTCGGGTGCAGAGACTGGGGGCGGCGAATTAAACATCCGTATTAAAGAAAATTTGCCCTAATAATTCTTTCCTTTGTGTCCCTATTGACTTTAATACAAGTATCAATTTGAAATTATAGATTTGTCAAACAAAACTATGCACTAATATAGTTTTTCCTTTTACATGGCTCAATATAATTCATTGTTAATAGTATAATAATAGGGATTATGAATGTATATAAAATCATTGCGTTCTTAATTCTAAATTGAATGTATTTGACGGCGTCAGTACAAAGAAAATTATTTTAAAACGATAAATAGAACCTTGAGACAGAAATTCATATCTTAATGTTAATAATAGCAAAATAATATCATTTTCAGATAAGGAATATTTTTGAAATGATTAGATATGGACAAGAACAAACCTTCCTCAATTAGACTTAATTGATCGTAACAAGATCGGTTGGATATGACACTCAAACATACATTGAATTACATTTTAAGATGTCAGATCAGCCACTGCATTTTCAAATATAATTGCTGAAAAAAGGGGGATGCGAGACCTTCCGAGAGAGATCTGTCGAGGTGTTGTACTGCCAGACGTACGCGCGTGCCCGCGGTGTATATTTGCCCTGGGGGACATAAGACCCCACCGACATTAGAGGAGGCATGAAATTGTCTAATTAAACCTCCCTGATTTATCAAGTCAAGAGCGCCCACAACACTTCTGATTTTCTCTCGAACTTTTGACAATTTTCTTATCAAAAGAAATAGACATGAATTAGGATACTTATATATAAATTGGTCTGAGATTTCATATAAAAATGCACAAACTGCTTCCACTCCATCGATTTTCAGGTCTGCGGCGTTCACAACTTCACGCATGGCTGTTCTGGCGTCTCTCTTCTTTGGACAATTTGGTTGCATTTTAATTCAAAGCTGTCGAATTAATGAAAAGGGTAACCATTAAATTTTACTTTCTTCAGTGCATATGACGAACCCCCAAAAATAGTTCAACCGCATAATTTTATAACACCTTCAAACTCTCACTTAGGGGTTAAATGAAGTGATTAAATATGTTCAAAGATAAATGAAAAATGCGACAGGTTTAAATTTATTTTTAATCAAATCAAACTTAAATCTGTAGTTATATAATCAGGGCATTGTCATATGTATCAAAATCACATGTACACATTTAAACATATAAACGAAGCAGACGAATTGTGTCGGAAATCTTTTGTGTGGAGTGACAAAAAGTTGACTTATTTTTTCACGCGCTCCGTCATGCTTTGCGGAAGCACGTGAGCGGAATCTGTCAGATTTTCGAGTTTGTTTGGATTCGAGTGTTGGATCCCGGAACACGGAGGTGTGTTAGATCTGATTTCAAACGTTGTCGGCTTTGTTTACGTCTGAGCCGTGGAGATCAGGAGGTGGAAATACCACATCGATACCTGTCGTCACATGACATGGTGCGCTAACGAAACAAACGTAGTTTTGGCTAGGAATATAAAAGTTCGTTTTTTAAAAACTTTTTAGAGATTTAAATATATATATTAATTGTGAAAACTATATAAGAAGGTGATTAAAATAACATTGTGACTACACTAAATATCCCATTTAAGTTACAGCTCTAAATAGTGAAAAGATATATACACGATTCAAAAGTCAGGAAATATATAAATAAAATGAATAAATAAATAAATGAAAACATTAGTCCAAAAGTTATATACATAATCAGCTTTTTGGTCGCTTATGAGTTTCATTCCCTCTCTCCCCACAAAACTTTTTTGTCAGTGAATGATGATCTTCCTTTCCCCAGTAATTTTCCTCAGCCCGGGATGCCTAAATTGACAGATAGTTTGATGATAATTTGATATGGTTTGATAAGGGTTAGGGTTGGTAACAGTGTCTGATACGGAGGATCTCCAGTGTCAGATCAGAAGAGAGCTTTACGAGGTGATAAATACCCAGATACCTATCTATCTTGTAGCCTGCTTACTTGTTTTTGAGGAGAATTTTATTTAATATTTTTTATATCTGGACTAGGACGATTATACTCGTGGATTTAAGATGATTGGGTTGTTAATTCGTAGTTACAAATTCCCCTTTCAAAAGAAGATTGATAGGGTGACCTTATGGAATTGTTATTTAAAAATTTCAGTGGTGCCATTTTAAATTTTAAGTTGTGGAATAATTGGACCTGTCCTTTCAAACTGAAGTAACATTCATCAGAAATAGAACACTCAATCTCAAAATTAGGTTCAATCTAATATTATGTGTTTATAGATGAAAGAAAATTGGAAACTTAACATCTGTATATGTCCGTGCTTGCTGAAGGTGTTGTATTGCTATAATATATGTATTATGAAACTGTATTATGTTATAGTTATCAGAAAAGAAAAAAAATTGAATTGAGTTTCATCATAGACAATTATAATGTAGTTTTGTTGTCTTGTGTTAACATTAGCAGTATAATATTATCCATTTTCAGACCTATTTATTGATCTATAGAAAACCAACAAGATTACATTTAAAGTATTTTTTATGCCAAAATTACATGATAATGTTACTATCTCAAAGTACAAAAGTGCTGACCATATTTAGTAGCAAAGCTTAAACTTAAAATCAGTATTTTTTACAGTGTAATATTTTGTAACAATGTTACAATCTATAAAAACGTAACATATCATATTGTAACATTGTTTAATCTTTACAATATATCTTGTTACATTGTTGCAATTTGTGTTTATTTATTATTTGTACAACATATTTCCTATAGAGAATGCTTTGAATTTAAAGCTCTGGTAATTTTACTGTAGCAAATCTCATATCAACAGTTTTTTTTTTCAGAAATTAATCAAATTAACACATTTAATTTATTGTGTATAAGTAATTAAAGATTGTGCTCTTTATCTATAGCAGTTTTCTAGTGCAGAGAACCTCCAGACCATGTTTACCTTGAAGTATTTTCTCTTGTCCCAGCCCAAACTGACCTTAAAGCATTGAAAATAAATAATGTGTCAATATTTAGTATTACAGAGAACTCTTGATCCTGAGGTTGTAAATCTCTTGTGAAGTCAACAGATAATTTAACATGTATTTGCAGATTTTCTATTTTTACTTGTGTATTATATCTGTTCCATGTTAGGTACATTTTAGAACCATGATCACAACAGCTTTAATTCTGTCAGCAATGTCTGCAAACAGCAGCTCGCAAACTGTCATAATTATTTTCTTCGGAATTTCAAACAGCAAACATTTTTTCACCAGAGGAATCTATTGTTTGTATAAGTTATTAAGCATGATTTTATCAGGTTAAATATTGTTTTCCTATTTTTCCTAGATCCGAATTTGAGCCTGTGGTTTCTCATTTGTAATATTCTTTCATACTGACAAACTGCTAAACTTGAGCACTGACTTAACATGAATTTTTTTCTCAGGATTATGTCAAATTTTCGATGAAAAGAATTCAATTATTTTTAAAACAATATACTCTGCATGTACATACTCTGCTTGGTAATCAAATAAGTTACAGATATTGGTGTTAACGCCTTTTTAAGGTTACATATTTATCTAAAACCTTTTATCATTTTTCAGCTTTATGAACTAAGTGAAGATCCAAAGAGAAAAGAATTTCTAGATGACCTGTTTCAGTTCATGCAAAAAAGGGGTAAGTTTTTGTTTCATTTTCTGACTCCAGGAACACACCATCACCACAAGTTACCTGTAGATAGCCAGAAAGCAATGCTAACTACAAATTTTTGACAGAATATCATCGTCCACATTTGTATGTTTAAATCATAGATAAAAACATGAATGCATTAGATCAAATATTCACTTAAATAAAAAAAATTGGAATGATTCGACAAAATATTGTCAAAATAAATTGTTATTTATGTTGATTCAGGGAAATATTGTCAATGATATAAAAATCATTACTTTAATTGCCCTATTGAAATTTTGTTAAACGAACCAACAGTGAAGGAAGACCTAACACAATTACAGGTTCACTGTAATTTTGAGCTACATAAACCATATTTTCGTAACTTCCACTTTTGAATCAATTTTGTAAATAGCACAAATTTTCTTTTACAATTTAAAATGATTTATTCATACACATGAATCAAAATTTTTTCCAATAAAAATTTCAGCAATTAAATATGTTTGAGTATTAAAATTTAATTTAAGATTGTTGCCACATTTTGTTTTGTTTGGCCTTGTGATAAATCAACCATTTAGTTGATAAAAGAAAAACATGCTATTTCTCAGGGATTTCGAGGCAACCTTATGGACGTTTAACATGATTTTTTTTCTTGTTAATAATATGTGTTCCAAGGACTTGGATAATATAAAATTATGCTTTAAATGATGATCATAATTTGAAAGTACTGTCGGTATCATTGGATGATAACAACAAAAAATCCTGATATTAATATCAGTGTTTACTTTGGAAATGGAAACAAATTTTGTTCGTTTCCTTTGGTAGTAAATCAAGCATGTCTGCTATCTAACTCCCCAATGAATAATAGTATTTAAGAAATTTAAAGTTCTATTGTTAAACACATCTGTGAGATTGCATGAAAACCTTATACAAGACAGCTTATTAAGGAAATCATTTGCTATTTAAGTAATTATATGAGAGAGCGTATGTAATGCCCAGAGGTAGGCTAGTTTCTCCTCTAACGCCTATCATTCCTTGCTACCTAATGCTACCATACGAGGAAATAAATGTGGCCATTTTCGAGGGGCTAGGCTAAGAACTGTGTCTGATTGCTGCGAATCATGAAAAGTATTAATCAATAATTGTTGTGAGACGTATCAGAGCGATCCCTGGGTCTGATTAACCCCAACAGATATCGCTCTCAGTCAACAATTACCTCCCATTTGATATGTTTTCTCTGCTACTCAGTGTTCATAAATTATTGGGCTTTTTTGCCATTATGAGCCTCAACAAATGAAGTTTTAGGGAATGGAATAGGGGTCTCTGATAGTGGAAGTTGATAAGATGCTTGAGAGTTGATTTGCAGGTTGAGCAGTAGAGACTTGTGTCATTTCTGTGTGTCATGCGATACTGATACGGGGTGTGAACAGGGTGCCCACTGTATGTCCACTGTATGCCCATCACTAAGGTAATTCATATATATATACCACCCTGGTGTTCCTTGACCCAATACATCACAAGATGATTTGTCCTGAACTGACCGGTAATGGAGTGGCGATCCTCCCACCATCTCTAACAATAGAAGTAACTCATGGACTCAACCTGAGGGACAGTTAGGACAGACAACAATATAGTAACAGACAGAGGGCAGCACCAACAAGGGAAAACCTATGACCCTGGCATGTTCATCGAGTGCAAAAAAATTTATCATTTTCTTCTAACCCCTAATCATTGAGATGAAATATTGGACAATTTAAGTTGAGTCAATGTCTTGGTATTTCACGTAAATAAAGTTTGATGTATTCATTGAGATAATAAATTGTAAAGCTACATCCTTATCAAATTTCATGCAAATTATCTAGATTTAATTTTTCATTGGAATTGAATTCTTAGACAGATCCACATATTCTGACAATACACAAAAAAGTATGTACAGGATTTATAATCCTTTGATAACTTGTAATATCCAAAATTATAAATGTAAAGTTCATCTCTTAATCTTTTCCTGGAAACCATACTTTGTGGGTGATTTCTTAGTTCATAGTCTAATGATCCAACTTTCATTACATTTAAATGACCTGAAGAAAGATATTTAAGTTCATTTCCATTTTAGGAAAGTTACAGATGATGAAAGTGAATATTGTTTCCTTGTAAAATCCTGATACATTTTTGTGAATGTTCACCAATGATATTAGAAATGATAATTTACATGTATAAGTATTGATGTTGACAAAAACCAATTTTGGATTTGTTGAAATTCTAAATTAGATAATGTTGACCAATGTCTTCATTAGAAAGTCAGTATATTTTGTTCTTGGTTCCTTTTGATTTCCCTGAAGTTGTAAAGTTTTGCACACTTCGTAATTGTTAGAGAACAATAGTGAAGGGTTCCACCTCTCTCTCCTCCCCTGCCTTTTCTGGCGACCTCCTATCTTGTAAGCATCTCTAAGACACAAATACAGCTCTCCTAAACACAAAGTTCAGACACTCTGATATCAGATCTATTGTTCATCTACAAAATATTTAGTTTATTTGTTCCAAGTCCTTACTTTTTGTGTGTATAAAGTCCTACTGTTTGTTGCCTTCTCAGGTTCTGTTTCCTCATAATTTGTGTGATATTTTTGGATATATATATATAAATAAATCATCTTATATCAGTGTTTGTGTAGCTTTACCTCTTTACCTCAGATCAGCTGATGATAAAACACATTTCACAACTTATCAAATTCATCTTCATATGAAATAATGTGTTTGTACAACAGTAATAGACATCATTTCTTCTCTGCATTTATTTTTATAATTGTGTACAAAATGTGCAGTAATTTTGTCAATCACTTTCAAGTGAAATTTTTAAATTTTGAGAAATAAAGATATGTGATAATTAGATTTCAAATCATAAACAAGATTTTCCTGAAATTTTTATCTTTATTAAAATAATTGGCTCTAAATGTACATAATTGTTTCATATTTCTTTACAAATACACCAGCTCTATGAATTAGAAAAAATATATATATATTTTCATGAATGTCTTTAAAATGAGATTTGATAGATTACCATCAGTTAATAAAGACACCAGTTTTATATATATGTGTTATCAGCTTCCAATGCTTTTGTAAGGTTATAAGGTGGTATTACCCAAAGGGCCTGACAAAACCTCATCTTCTTGTGAAGGACGCTGCTGTGTATCATCTCCCTGCTAAACCTTTCACTCAGCGTGGAATTTATATAGATTTATCTGAAATCCTGATAGCCTCACAGACTGTGATATATATTCATAAAATGGCTATATGATTCCACATAACTATTAGATAATAATCACTACTGCAGCTGGTTATCGCAGGGTGCTTCTTTGGTATTCAAATAAAATCTTTAATTTCAATGGGATTGACACACTGGGATTTTATCAAACAGTAAATCATAGTGTATAATACATAGCAATGCTGGGTGTACAGTTTGCCTGACAGACTTTGGGAGGTATAGAGATAGCACCCCAATGTATCAGTGTTATGATGGACTTATCGCCTATATTGTTTGATACTGTTCCCCTAATAAGATGTTATCCTAGGGCTTCTGTAACAAGCCCTGACTAAAATGGCCGAGACAGAGCGGAGGGAGCCATCAGTAAATAACATTTTTGTCACTGCTTTGTTTCTTCCTCCATTTTAATAGTCACCCTCAATTCCTTTCCACTCCCTCCCTTTCCTTATTCACTTTTCTTTTGTTCTTTCATACTTCCCTAGTTACTTTCTCTCTCTGACTGTCCCACTTATTGTCCTTTTGTTCTTCCATACTTCCCTAGTTTATTTTCTCTCTCTGGCTGTCCTATTTATTGTCCTTTTGTTCTACCATACTTCCTTATTTTATTTCCTCCCTCAAACTGTCCCGTTTATTTTTCTTCCTTACTTCCCTAGTTTTATATCCTCCAAATTAACTCTTCTTCCCTTAACCGTTCCTCATTCTTCACTCTTGCAGTAATATTTTTGCCCGGTCCCTTTCATTATATTTATTTCTTTGTGCTTGTTCTTTCCATCTTTTTCCTCCAGTTTTTACCTTTTCGTCCTCTTACTTTTTCTCCTCAATTTCCCATGGCTTCTACGGACGTTACACAATTCCTTCCCTGACCCATATCACTCCCACAATTTGGTCCCTCTCTTGCCCCTACTGCTCCAGCTATCCCTCTTCTTCTCATACTGTCTTTCTACACCTTTTATCCCATCTTTCCCATCTCATGCTGTTCTCTTCAAAAACTTGGCAGGAAGCTGAAGATAAGGCGTAGAATTAATCTGTTTTGTTTTACTCGGTGTTGAGGGACCTGATAACATTTTATTTCAGGATAATGAATTGAGACCTGATATCATTTTATAACCCTTTTGTATGTTGACTAGAGTCAATTACCGGAGACATGAACGTCTATGATACTTCTCATACACACTTTGTATATGTCTTTGATACATTAAATTTACGGCAAATATCTTTGAAGAAATAAAAAACAGTATGGCAGATTCTTTTCCCCATTCATTACAGGTTTCTGTTGAAGACTATTGTAGTCTTTCCGATTAAACAATTTTTTTTTAGAATGGCCTCTAAATGCAATTTTAAATAGTTTTTCTGCATGTTATTTTTAGATAAGGGTGATGACAGGATTACATGAACACACAATGTAAACCAAAGTGCAAACTTATTAGGTATAGCTTGACATCAGATAAGTCAGCACCCCACTGAGCCGCTGTCTTATTGGGGGTGATATCGTTTTATACTCCACCAAGGTACTGACTGATAACATTGATTTCTTCGCTATTAAAAACTAGATGTAACTTGTCCTCACAGAACTATTTGTGTTGAAATATGCCTACACACTATATCCCAATATAGGGCACATTGTTGGATCCCTCTGTATCATACATTGTGTTGAAGTGTGAAGATTGATATCTTATGTATTCCACAGATATCAGTCAATATCGTGCCAATTTGATCCGCTTGCCACTAGTGTGGTATGTACCCAAATCAT